GTTTCTTTTGGAACGGTGGACACCACCAAGTTCTTTGCTTGGGGGGGTGGGTTTGCATCAATCTTTGTTAGAATGGAATAATCACTACACTGGTGTCACCCAGTTGCCCATATCACTTCACCCATGCCAATAGGGGTCGCAAGATGATCACCCATATCAATTGAGATGTTAAGAGTTTTTTCCGAGGCTCGGCGGAGCAAACAACGTACGCCGGGGTCCGCGGCTGAAGCGGTTCGTCGTTCGTACGATCACTTGACCCCCCTGGCACCACCACCCCTGGCCGTTTCTCGGCAGGTCCGAATCGGCAGTCCCAAACGGGTCGTGTCTGGGTATGGCATTTGTAAAGGTTTACAGTCTCACCTCTGTCACAGCTTTTAGATCAACCACCCCAAGGGTTTCAGTCCCGTTTCTTCACTTCGACCTGCTGCTAAGCCAGCGAACGATGTATGGGAGACAGTTTACATGCGTCCCCCGTCCTGGGCTCGTGGGTGGTCGATTCTAAACACTGCAGTGATGACCATGATGATGGTACCGCCACCCTGAACCGTCCTTCACCATTGGTGTTGGCGCCAGCTGTTTCCCTCACCAGCTGTTTCATGAAGGACACGACCAAAACCAGGTCGTTTTTCCGTGGGTTTTTGGACCGGTGCCGCCGTTCGCGTCCCTTGAGGCATGATCCGCCGATGGGTGCAGCGGCGCGCGGCGGAGCGGCCGGACCGATCGGTGCGCGTGGGACAACTGAAGGCACGGACAGTGTCCGCTGTGTCGTGGGACGACGTGGGACGGGCGCGCGAAAAGAAAGGCCCGTGGAGTGTTTGGGGGAAGAGGAATTCCTTTGTGTTTGATGGAGTTTTTGGGGGTATGACCCGGGATTTTTACTGCCTTATTTCAGGTGCTGGAAACCAACGGGGGTCATGGGCCCATGGGCTTTTTTTCGCTTCCGCCCTCTTCCACTCCTCTTCTGCTCGCCCCACCCGCTCGTTTGAGGACCACCGGATCATGGCAGAAGTGTTGGGACGGCTTTGCTACTTCATCTTCTCCCACTTGGCGGCGCCCCGCCCGACCCCAACGGCTTGATCAACCGCGGGTCACGGGCCGAAGCAGACGACACGACCGGTGGGTCTGACCTACCGGTGGGTCTACCGGTCATTTGAGCTGTTTGGTATCGGGAATTCCTATGGTCCATGCATGATCCTGCCTGGACCTTCAAGGGGTGTCCTGTCTGGAGGTCCCTTAGTGGTGGGCTGGGGCTTCCAACCAGGTGACCCCTTTGAAGGTGCTGGTGTAGGTTCATGATGCTTTTATGGACTTCTTTTGTTCGACCCCCGTCGACGGAATTTCGACGAGGTTGAGTAGTCAAGCATCGCAAAGGATATCGAAACGTTGAGTAGTCATTAGAATCAGCCCCCATTCTTTTCTTCAGGCTCCGGTTGGTTTGGTGATGTTTGGTTGGAGGAAGGTGTGATGTTGGAGGTCCAAAAAGACTTGTGTGTAGACATCTCTTGGCAAAATGAAGGCAGCTTTATGGAGGTGAAATCTGCTCATCAGTTTAACGGTGTTCCAAGGAAATCACCCCAAGCTCAGGAGGTCAATGTATACCCTAGAAGTCCAGTTCGACCATATGTTGACTGGCTGAAGTAAAGGAAGTTTCCCTGACTCAGGTCCCCGTTCGTCAGACGATTCTTTTTATAGTCGACTGGACTCCCAAGGTATACCTGCATCCAAACCAACTCTCTGGGCCTTTCTCGGTCGTTGGACGGAGATTCCACAGCCCAGAGGCGACCCGTTCGGCCCCGAACCAGGTCCAGTTCACCCTGGCGGGTTTCGGGTCCAGCCTTTGGGAGGCGTCGACGCTTTAGACGCCACCGTTGGGAAGGTGTGTCCGGTCAGACTCCAAAAGAGACCTCCCAGGTGCCCTTGCTGAGGGCGCACTTCTACGCCACGGAAGCAGAGCCCGGTGGGATGCAAACCATCTACTTCAGGACCACGGTGGGATCTTTCCGGGTTCCCCTTCCGCCACCAGGCTTTCGCCTCGCCTCGCCGTCAACCACATCTTCGCCTCGCCTCTGGTGCGTAACAGATCCGATCACGACTCGCCGGTGGGGTCTTCCACGGTTTTCGGCCTTCGGCTCGCCGGAGCCATCGCCACGGAGCCCCCCCAACGAATCCAGAAAAACCAAGGGGTTCGGCCCGTTCCGCGCCGATGATCGGACCGTTCTTTCCTGGTCGCTGAAGCGAGTTCCACGCCCGGATCTCCCGGTGGCGCGGCCGGTTCTCGGAGCAGAACGGACGTTCCAGGAAGAACGTCTGGCACTTCATGCGCTCGCGGGCGGATTGCGGCTTTTTGCATCTGTGCTTGAGCCCCAACGAGACGACATCGGCCTCCACGGCCTCGTCCCTCGGCGTTCGCTTGGGCGGCACGCCAGACCCTGCGTGTTTGGTCGATGTCGAAGCTTTTTGAGCTCTTTCTTCAGTCCGTCGTGTCCTCCGTTCGTGTTAGCAACGAGCGCTTACAGTCGAAGGTAGTGTTCGGAGGATCGTTTCCTTTGTCGTTCCACTGGGTGTGTGTGAAAATAGGGAGACCCGTTCATTCATGGCACCACCCAGAAAGGAACGCGCCGGCCGAGGTGGAGATTCACAGAACAAAAGACATGGCTTCTATACCGGGCATGGCCCAAGGTGACCTTCCCCAAATGGGCTTTGCATGTTCTGGAGATCAAACGATGCCAATTCGGTGGGTCTTCTGGGTGCGACGACATCGTTTTCGTGCACCCGGGAGCCGACCGATGGTGGACCGTTCCGTTCCATGCTTCGCTGGGGTCGACGTTCCCCTCGTGACTGGTAGGTCGATCGTGACTGGGTTGACTCTTGATTCATCAACGCCCGAGATGAACATGAGAGAGGTATGTATCAATTCCAATGGTGGGGGGGTGATCAATCAACACTCTACATGACCGACCCACAAGCCTTTCAATCTTTGGAGACACCATGACATACTGTTGATGACCACTGTGCGGTGGGGAAAGAGTCGGGAACAAGGCTCGGTTGAAAGACCCCCAAACCGACGGAGACGGAGACCCTTTCAACCCCGTGTTCCAATGACCGAGGCTTGGGCGAAAGGGCTCTTTTGCGAGTCGCTGGGGCCAAGACTTCTCGTTCGAAGCAGCAGTTGGGAGGTCTCGGGGTTCTGGGCCAACTTGGAAGGTCGAAATGGGCGGTTTTTCTTTTTTCGGGATGCCCGAACCGGCACATCCAATCGTCGTAGATTTTTTGTCTAAGAGCCTGGCCCTTTTGTCCTTTTTGGAATGAGTTGCTCCTTTTGTCCTTGCGTCTCCTCGCTGTGGAGGAGACGTTGTGTCTTCACAACGGCGCGTTCAGTCGCACAGCGACGCCCGCCAGCAAGACCTGACACCTGAAGCAAGACCCGTAACTATAGACGACTCCCGATATGATCCATGCAGATAGGTTTTCGTCAAAAAATGCTTCACTTATTCTAGTCGGGGGACTCCACTTAAGATTCCATATGCTCCCTTCATGTGGATCCTCCTGCTGCCGCTCCAACCACCGAGACCGGCCCGTCCCACCGGGCCTCCGACGCCTGCGCGCCGCTGCGTCGTCGCGCGCGACTCCGCGCGTGCGCTGGGTGCCCAAGCGGCGGGGCTTTCGGCCGCTGCTGTCGGGCCTGGCGAAGAGCGAGGCGCGGAGGTGTCCCAAGCAGAAGTCGGTGTGACCTGGAACGAAAACGGAGCCAGAAGGTCTGGTTTGGTGGTTCGGGGTGGTGTCTGGGGAGGCGGCACTGGTGGGCGGAGGAAAGGATTGAAGGAGAGGAAGGAGAGGAAGGAGAGGAAGGGGAACACTGACGATGGGTGACAATGGCACGCGGAGGAAAGAGGGACAGGTGAAGAAATAGCTATCTCAGCTGTCGACTGCTTGGGGTGTTTGTGAGGAGTATCAGGGGTGGGTGTCAAGTCCGACCTAGGTGGGGTGTATCCATTCCTGTCGCAAGTCACACTTCTCGTGCGGGTAGGTACTACCTACCTGAGCAACTCAAAAGCCCACTAGCAAGCAATCGCACTCCGGAACCACTGGAGAAGGATTGAAAATGGAGGATGATTCATGTGCGTGTTCAATGCGAATACGTTTTGTTAGCGAACACGTTTGTTAGCGCCCAAGACAGGAAACGGCTGGAGTTGTTCTTTTTGGCAAAACAAGGAGCGATCCCTTCTTGAAAGGGTGGCACTTTTGGGACCACTCCTTGGATGGAAGTGGTGTCGGAGAAGCCCAAGGGCTGGATGCGAGTCCACCCCGAGAATGGCCGCGAAAATCAAGGGGTGTGTTGCTTTGGGAGGAGTCTCCCAATGATCAACCCTAAACCCATGCATCTATAGGCCTAAACATCCCGAAAAACCGATCACGAGCTCACAAGCTCCCAATCATCCAGCCGATTTGCCACCAGCCGATTTGCGGCCCCAGGTTGTCTGTCTTGGCCAGCTTGAGGAGCTCGGCAGTCGACGTCTTAGGGCACTCGATCTTGGGGCAGCACGAAGCTTGTCCACTCGGTTTTAACTTCCCGTGGATGAAGTCCAGGTGTTGGTGGGCGGAGAGGCCTCACCGGCCAAGCTGGAATTGGTGGTTGGTTGGTTGGTGGGCATGGCCGGCAGGGCCGAGAGGCCCGCATTTCTTCTTCGTCCGGTCAATCCAACCGCTCAGGAGGTCTACCGAAAGTTGTTGGATGCATTGGTGGCCTTGAAGACCATCTGGACGCTTGGAGCCACGTCACGCCACGTGTTGGTACAGAAGAGGTCGTTTTCGGTGGCAAGAAGGACTGGGACACATGGCAACTTCAGGAGGAGGTGTTTATCGGTGTGTGTGTGTGTGGACATTCTTGCGTTTTCACTGAAAAAAACGACGGATCGGACTCTGTCAGTGTCTGAAAAAGGTGGCGGAATCGGGGGGTGAGGTGTGGGGCGGACCGGATCGCTTCCGACTCGGCACGTAGACCGAACACGTACCGCGACTCGCGACCGGACACGTACCGGGCATGGCCGGGTGACATGGCGTGGAGGGACTTCAAAAGGCGAACGTGGCCTTAGCGTAATTGGGAAGAGACCTCGGACCTCCACGCGAGGGAGCTGAGGCCTTTATAAGCCGCCAGCAGGAGTCGGCGCATCCATAGCAGGAGTTCTTGAGAGGCAACCAGCTAGCGAGCGCAGTCCTCAAAGAGTTCAGGTGATCAGGCACCATCCAGGCACCCGACTTCACAGGTCACCACCTACCACTGTGTCAGTCTGTAGAGTCGGGTGCTGGTAGGTGATCTGAACAGGACATCATGACATCTCTCCCGTCGATTCGCTGCGCACCAAGCTAAATAGCACCTGCAGAAAACTCTACTTTGCCCAAGAAGAACGAAACTCGAAGCCATCCGCCTCGTGAGCCTGTCGGTTTCGAACCCCGGTTTTGTGCGCAGTGACTCGATGGGTTCTTCGGCCAAGTGGAGCTTCTGGTCGAAGGGAAATGCATCAGAATGGATTTGTTTGGGGGGGGTCGAGGGGCCCCATCTTGAAGGCTTTTCAAGCCAAAATTGTGTCCTTTTGAGGGCACTTTCGAAGAGAAGTCTTCGCTACTTTCCGTTTGGTGCAGAACCCACCACGAACAACTACTTTCTCCTGGAACGCTCCCATGTTCTTTGTCTCGTTCTCCGGTACTCAGTCATTCGGCCCGCGAGGAAGGACGGGGCCGCGCCAGAGCTCTTTGTGGCCGTGGCTGACTTGCGCCACTGCTACGACCAGATCATGCATGAGCCCTTGCTACGGCGCATTCAGGAAGTACCTTTGCAGCCGAAGCGCCCTCGGCGAAAGAGAGGTCAAGACGAACACCCCACCCATGCCGCATGCCCATATATATATATATATACTCTCGATTCATTTGACCTGTTCTTTTGTTAAAGGTCTTGCTATACTACATGCCCTACGCACCCAAACCCCATGAATTCGGGTTGATGGACCAACCTAACCCTAGGTCTTCCGCAGTACTCAAACACAGGCTTATACCCCCCTACCAAAAGATGGCACAAGTAAAAGTGCTCCATATGCTACTTTTTCCTGCGGAGCGGCATATGAAAGGGCTTCTGACCGTATAGATGGCACATTGTGAGGAGCCATCATATACACTCAGATGTGTTTTTTGTGTGTGCCATCATATATGCATTGAATTTGCGATATGAATCATGATGTATATAGGCATGACACACCGAGCCCATTGATGGCATGTGGGAGACATAGCAGGTTCAAATCAAAGAGGAATCAGAGGACAAAAAAGGAGGGCCGGCGCAGGTGGGAGAGCTGGGATGATTGGAGCCGCTAAGATGGTGATAAGACGGGAGACTGTGAAGGGGGTAGTGACAAGAGAGAAAAGGAAAGAGGAAGAGAAAAGAAGGAGAGGGAAAGGATATTTCAGAGTTGGGGTGGGGCAGGTGGGAGAGCTGGGATGACTAAGATGGCACATGCCAGGTGATGAGAGGGGAGGCTGTCAGGGGG